GGAGGCCGGGGCGGCGGGCGGCGCGGCGGGGTGCGGCGGCGGGCGGCTGCCCGACATGCCGAGGCCGGGCGGAGCGGGGGCCGTGCGCGGCGGCCTCAGCGCATCGCGTGCGCGCGGCGCCGCCAGAACAATAAAGTTTGTTCGAAGAGGAAGAAGAAAAAAAAAAAAAAAAAAAAAAAAAACCAACAAAACGCGCCCGCCCGCGCACCCCCGGCCCGGCGCTTGTTCAATCTTTATTGACAGGCGGACACCGCCGCCGCGCATGCGCAGCCCGCGGCGGGGCTCCTCCTCTCAGGGCGGGGCGGCGGAGCGAGGCCCGTGGCGGCTGCTGTGCGGCTGGTGTGCGCGGGGGTGTTTTTGTGAGGGTCCTCGGGGCGCTGAGAGGCTCCCGAACGGGCCGGGATTTCGAGCAGAGTCTCAGGAATCCCTCTGTAAGCACGCCTAGGAAGCGCAGCCTCAGTCTGATAGGGGTCTCTTGGCTTCTCCTTCTGCCATTCCCTTCGGTCCTTAGCGATGGCAGCCCCGGAGCTCTGCGTTCTGGCCATCGGTACACACGGCAGCCCCCAGGGATGTGCTGGTTGCCCTGCGAGGAGCCCCTGCCCCCAAAGGCGGTTCCTCCCTAGACTTAGACTTAGGGTGTTGTGAACCATGCTGAGGGCAGAGGCTTCATCAAACAGCAACTGTCTGTTCCTGAGTGTAGGATCATAGAACAGTCTGACTTGGACCTTAAATGCCATCTGGTCCCACTGAGCAGGGACACCCACAGCTCCGTCAGTGCTCACAGCCCATCCAGCCTGACCTCTGTGTCTGCAGGGAACCACCAGCTCTTTGGACAGCCTATGCCGCTGCCTCACTACTTGTATTGTTAAAAAAAAAACAGTTACTTCTATTCAAACAGCCTACAGAATCACATAGCCTGCTTTGCATTGACTAACTGTATTGCCTGCCATCAGTTCTCTATGGTAAAAGAGATTTTGAAGCACCTGGTGAAACTCTAGGGCATTCCCCAAGGTTGGTAATCCCATAACCAGGTATGGGGAAATGCCCATAGAGCTGAGTTCTGCAGCACTCCTCCCAGCACAGGCAGCAAAGTGTGCCTTCCAAACCAGTATGATAGCTGGTAAAACTGGTCTGGGAGAAAATGGTAGCTGCAGGTAGGCAGTGTTGGTCAGCTATCTGGTGTGTGCCATGGATGGCCAGATCCTGTGTCTCCCAAAAGGAGTGCAACACAGCTGTGATTATGCTCCACGGATCCTGATGTGCAAGGACAGCTGTGGAGCACTGTTGCTGACCTCTAGAATACAGTCAGGCATTTGCCTTTGTATTTACTGCTAATGTTGATTAAACAAAACAAAACAAAACAAAAAAACACCAACAATAATCAAAACTGATTTCAGTCAGTCAACTGACTGACAATCCTGAGCCAGAGAAGTCAAAGCTGCTTCTCTTTGCAATCTGGGTCAGCAGTCTCACCTTTACAAGCTGACGTCTGCCATTACAGTCACTCCCATGAGTTAACTCTGTGTTGCTGCCACTGAAGTCTCCTTTCTTGGGAATTTTGAGGGGTCTTGTTTTGTTTTGAGCCAAAAATTCTGCACCCTACTAGTATAAGTAGCCTTCTGGCTGGCAAGTGGCAGGACTAACTCCACAAAGACACTGAGACACACAAATCCCCATGAATTTCAGTGGAAGCCAAAGAGGAGCGCTAAAATGTCTTTCTTTGAGCCTGGCCGTTGTTGTTTGTGTGCATTGTGTTTCCTCTTACTAAAAGAAAGGAAAGCAACACTTCCTTGTTTCTCAGAGCAATCAGAAGCTACAGGGATGAGTGTCTGCAGTGGACTGTTATGTTATCCAGGGAAAAAACAAAGTCGTAGCAAGCAATAATAAAGGCAATAGTATGTCTGCATGCTTCATGCATTCCAAAATACTGCCTGGTCTTTGGAAAGCCACGCAGTTCTTGATACTGTTGGTGGCTGTGCCCCAGGGAGGAAAACATGGCACAGGTGAAAGCTGTTGGAGGTGAGCTGTTTTCCCTTGGTGTAACTGTCTTTCACAACACTGCCTATGTCCGCAGGCTGGAGCTGAGCACCAGCAGCTGCAGTGCCTGAAGGCCAACTCTACGATACTGAGCTTCAGGAAATCATTATGAGTTCCTGGAGGCTCTGGCAGCAGACATTCTCTGTGCTTCCCTGATGAACACTGAGCAGCCTATGGCATCTGCTAACCACCAGAGACCTTTCTTTCCCCTTTCCTGGGTTACCTTGCATTACCAGTTCCAGAATCAATGCATGCAGCCTAGGGGAAGATTAGATGCTACTACTTAGAGATACCTGTGCATTGTACCAGGATAAAGAACATGGTTTTGAAGCTCATCACAGAATCATAGAATGGCTTGAATTGGAAGGGGCCTCAAAGATAATCTAATACCAACTCCCTGGTTACCAACCACTAAGTCAGTCACTAGAACAGGTTGCCCAGGGCTCCATCAACTTGGCTTTGAATACCTCCAGGGATGAGGCACCCACAGCTCCGGGCAGCCTCTCAGTGAAAGATTTCCCCCTGGCATCTAATCAAAATCTCCCCTCTTTTAGTTTAAAACTGTTCTCCCTTGTCCTATCACATAAATTTTGTAAAACTGTAGGAAACTGCTCTCCTTTTCAGTATTCTCTACCCTCTGAAGGTGATCATTGGCCATGTCCTGCACAGCCATGTGTTGGATGAGGCAGGAACCTGACACTAAAGGAAGGAGCAGACAAGTAGTGTCTATAGATGAGTGAGCCTTAATAGCGGCATAGGTTCTGCTCTTCTGGATACATAAATCCTGCTTATTATAAGTTTGTGCCTTTTATGCCTGCAGCTCCATTTACCTGTGCAACTGGAAGCTGTGATACCTGCTGTCAGCACGGCTGCAGAACCCCAGGGAGACCTCATCTCCTTCCGTGCAGAGCGACATGGGCCAGGTGTATGAGGAAGCCACAGTCCTGTCCTGGGCTCCACTGCTGATTGCCAGTGACCCATTAGGAAAATCACTTCTGCTTCCTTTGCCTGTTGGTCTGCTCAGCAGCGCTGCAGCCCCTGCTAGGAGCTGCCCCTAGGCTGGGGAATTGCTGCTCCAGAGGTCATTATAGAGTCTTATTAATAATCATTGCATTAACCTCCCAGCTAGCCAGTGACAGAAATGCCATTTCTTCTCATTTTCTAGCTGAGAAAAATGAAGCACAGACAGATTCATCACCTGGTTACGGAGTCAATGGGAACTTTAATGCTCCATAAATCTGAAAATTAGGCTGTCAGCAACTTCTCCTAAAGCAAACCTGCAGCACAGCTATCTGGGAGACCCCGTTCCTACCCATTAGACACGCTTGTTCCTCTGCTTAAAGGGAAGACATACATCTCCAAACTTTAATTCCTGAAATCAGATGCAGAGATGTGGGGATCTGCAGGGCATGGTGGATGGACAGCACTGTTAGTTTTTTGGTTTTTTTTTTTCCTTTTTAATTTATTTTTCTAGTTTAACAGTGCAATATCAAGTATTGCTGGGAGAGAGGATGCTCACTGACCTCTGGTATAGTTAGCATTATATGGTGTTATTAAAAAAAAAAAAGGAATTTTAGTGCTTAATAGCAATATCTTTGCCTCTCCCAGAGGAAATTTTGTGCATTAGCTAAAACATAACTCCAAGCTAGTGTAGAGATTTTGAGCAAAAGTTGTTCAAGCATTTTCATTTTCAGAGATGAAGAATCAGCAAAATAAAATATTGACATTTACTGCTGTGTTTAAACATCTCTTATACCTTAAAGTGAAAAAAAAACAAAAAAACAACCAACAAAGTTATCTGGGGTTGTGTGATCTCTGTGCTGCTAAGTGCATCATTTGGGTCTTCTGAAACAGCATTTGGTTTGATTGAACTCACATGAGGTTGAAAGGAGGGTCTCACTTCATTCTGACCTACCCAAGCAGAAGAACCTACTTTGCTGCTTGGAATAATGAAACCTCCTCTACAAGGGGAAACAAACAGGTGAAAAACATATCTTACTGCTGAACACCACATTGAATGCACTAACCCGGGGCTAGAGGAAAGGTTACCTTATGGCTCAAACCTTTGCTGAGAGTCTTTGTCTTCCTATTCAAAGAGTGGGCTGTGTAAGCAATAGGTGAAACCCTCTGCCCACTGCCTGTCATCAGCAGGAGGAGTGCAGGTTTCTCTCTCGCATAGGTTTGACCTTAGCCTGGATTTATGCAACCCTGGATCTGTCCCAGGATGCTGCAGGTCCTTGCATGACACAGGGCTTCCTTATCCATCACATTTACTCTCAGCCATGAACTCCAAATCCGGCCCAATTCAGCCCCTGCTTTCGCTCTGACTCTCTGTTAAAACACCATGCCTAAGTACACTTTGACCACATTCATTGCTTGTGCAACTGTACTAATCATTTTGATAAATGCTTGGCGTTTCTGTTCAGTTTGATTTCTTTACCATGAAACAGAATTGACACTGGTGTAGTTTGTAAGCTTAATCCAACCCAAACCAAGCCTGTGCAAGGCAGTGCCTGCTGCATCTCCTCCTCAAAGCCAGAAACAAAATGATGTTTCTGCTCATTAGCTGGGGAGAAGTCTTCTGAGGGCTCTGGAGCTGGCAAAGAAAAGTTGTCCTATCTTCAGTTCCCTTTCACTGTCTGAAGATCCACGTACACGTTTCCCTGATGGCTGAGCACCTCTCTTGCC